CCACACCCCGCGTCACCCGTCTGCCAGCCCCACCGGAGACCTGGCGACCGTCTGCTTCGGTGAGAGGGGTTGGCCCTGGCTGGAGGGAGGCGCTGAGGGAGGGAGGCTCCGGGAGGGAGGCTGAGGGGGGGTCTCCTCAGGCGGCCGGCGGGACTGGTGTTTGCCCTTTGAGGGTGAATATGCGGTGTTTGCCCCTACCCAGGCTTCGTCCACTCAGAGCCGGGTTTTATCCCTTCGTTTCGTAGGGCAGCTGTCGGAGGGGACTGGATGGACGGCCCAGGCCAGGCCTCGGCTTCCTCCCCCTCCTCGGCCGGTGGTACCGGGGCTGCCCCCGCGCTGTGTGGCGGACTTAGGGGAGCGGGGCTTCCTCTGCGGTCGTTTTTCAGGAAAAATGTTTTTTTTTTTTTAAAAAAACATCTTTAATTAAATAAAAATGGGCTGCGCTGTCCGCTGGCTCAATTTCTAGCTGATGGACTGCAAAACAGTGTAAAGAAAGCATTTTGTTCAAGTGAGTACTCTTCGGCAGTCATCTAAGCATTAAATTTGATACTGATTGCCTAAAAAAAGAGGAAAAAAAAAAAAAGCTGAATCGATCTGCATAGTTAGTGGGTTTGAGCTTAGCACATTTTGGTAGTACTCATCACTGCCAAAGCACTCGGGCTTGAGCTGTGCTCCAAAGATCATTCCCAGCTGAGTTTAAATCCCTTTGCTGCTTTCCTGAGGCATGTGGCGGGTTCTCATGTTAGAGAACCGCATTAGGGCTGCAGATGAGCCACCTACCAGAGAATTAGACATTGAAAACCCGAAGTGACTGCAGTTTATCTATGTCCAAATCGTGACAATCCTAACGGGAGGATGGAACCTTAATATTTTTTAAGTATATGGGACTTCTGTAGAGCAAGGTTGGAATTTTATTGGTGGGTATATGGTATGTGTCTGTTTAAAGCAAATCGGGGTTTCCATCTTGCTGATACTAAAAGCTTAGGAAGTGTGGCAGTGTCACTAGATGCTGTACTAAAGAACACATTTAGGTGCCATCTTGACTGCTTTTACTTTCTAAAAAGATGACTTCTTAGTAAGGATGAGTTAGCATAACTTGCTGATTTATTAAACTTGCTGTATCACGGTAGTGGACTGGAAAAATTACTAAAAATGCATTAGTGGAATACCCTTACCTGCCCCATTCTTGATTCTCCACCAAAGGAGCCGGAATGCAGGGGTTTTTTTTAACGTTTAGTCAAGTAAGCGCAAGATCTCCGTGCTGTTTGTTAAATCTGCTTCTCGTGTTTTGCAGATTCTCTTGATCTGAAGATGGCTGCACAGTCAGCACCGAAGGTTGTGCTAAAGAGCACCACCAAGATGTCTCTGAATGAGCGGTGAGGAAGCCAACAGCAGCTTCAGCTCATAAGAAATTTTTTTACTTAATTATCACTGTCCGGTGTCCAAAAACCAACGTGGTTTCTGCCCTCTTTTAACCTCACTAAAACAAGCAGATGGCTATGCACCTCTGTCTTAAACTGCAACAAATGTGGTACGCAAGGTTAAAAGGGCAAGTGTTTTGGAGAAATTTATCCGTAGCAGTTAATATTAAACTATTCAACACGTAAATATGGCGGGATGTGTTATAACAAAAGAGAAAAACCTCACACCCTCCCTTTTTCTTCCACATGTTTTTACATTTATATAGTTGACGCTGCAGCACGGTAGCATGTTACCCAAGCTGCAGCAGGCTTGCTGCTTTGTCCGAGGCAGGCACACGTGCACGTGGTCTGGCCTGTAAGAGGCATGCAGCAGGCCATTAAACGAGCCCAAAGGCCCTTTAACAACGTTTTGGGCCTTGTAAGAGGCAAATGCTTTGCTTCATCTCCATCTCCTCTCTCTTCTCGATTTCTTTATTTCTTCTCTTGAGTATTCTTCTGTTTTTTTCCATGCCATTGAGCTTTTGCAGTTCTACAGTGACAGCTAACAGCGATGCTGCAGTTACATTTCACTTTCTTACTAATTGCTCTTGGATTAATGATGTTAGTGGCATTGAACCAGAGATAAAGGGAGCTATTTGCACGCAGTTCCTGTTCTAGCAAGTGCTGCAGTGAGATGTAGCCTGAACTGGTGCTCAGAGCTTACCCCGGGGAAGCTGAGCGGTGAGGTGCAGCGCAGGGGGAGGCTTGCTGGCCTGTTTCATTTTGGTCAGTCCATATTCCTCATCCGTAAGTGTTTTCTTTTGCAGTCTTGCGTAGCTCCCAGGACACAGTAGAAAGCTGATGGCTTGCTGCTAAGGAGGCTTACTATCGTGCTGTATGTTCAGCTCCTGTATAGCTCTTAAAGACAGAAGAGTCTCTGTGCACCAAAGAAACGGCCAAGTGAACTGTTTTTATAAGCCAGCGCGCTTGGGTGGTGGCGTTTCATACGGCACCAGTTCTGTGGTGCGCCGGAGGCACACAGGTCTGTTCTCAGGGCAATGTCTTTTGTAAAGCTGCTTTCTGGCACTGAGGTTTTTAAAGCATTTTCTCTGATTTTTAGAGGGTTATTTTAGATTCTGCAGTCAGATTTCAGTTTGCTTTTCTGTCTCTGTGATGTCCTCTCCCATCTGTCATGATCATCTCTGCTTACTGCTTGTTGTCATTCCTTCTGCCATTTCTAAAATCAGTAATCTAAAGCTTTATCACTTCTGAATTAATATACGACATCATTTCTGAGTTTCCACTTCTTGCACACTTGTGGAAAACAAGGAACACGTAATCCTATATGACGTGACCTAAGTACCACTCTTTACGTAAGGTTCATGGGATCTGGAGATCCAATCTTGAGAACCATGAAATGCCAATAAATGTATGTAATAAAGCTTTATTTAAACACCCGTTTTATTCGACCTTGAAGCTTTACTAACATGCTGAAGAACAAACAGCCGATGCCAGTGAATATTCGGGCTACCATGCAGCAGCAGCAGCAGCTAGCCAGTGCCAGAAACAGAAGACTGGCCCAGCAGATGGAGAATAGACCTTCTGTCCAGGCTGCTTTGAAGCTTAAACAGGTGAGAGAAAGTGGCGTTTTTCTGGGGCAGCCCCTCGATGCCTGTCACCAGCAGATAGCTTTTTCAGGATGTGGTGGATTTTGGAAAAACGCTCCTGAAAGTTAAAAATGAGAGACCTAGAAGGGACTTGCAACAAATCCCACCTTTTATTTCAGATAAGTAACACTTTGTAACTTACCGGGTTAATATTATTGAGTTGGGTGGGGTTTTTTTTTGTGCTGGCTGTTCATATCTCCTCTCTATTTTTTCAGAGAAATGTTCTCATTCTGGGGTTTCTGGATCTGCTGAGTGCTTCATCTCGCAATCTAGCTACAGTTAACAATTGCTGCAGGCTGTTTCCAGTCCTTGCTATCCAGCTGAGGCTGGTTGCTCCCATCCCAAACTCCACCCTCTCTTGGTGCGCTCCCTTGGTAGCAGCTGCCTGCGAGGAACAGATCAACAAACTCATTTATTTTTTGCTTGCTTGCGAATACTAGAATGCAGGCCTGGATTTAAGGCATAGCATTGCATTCTCCGTGTATAAAGAGGCTTTATAGTTCTGTGTTTCACAGATGAGTACTACAGATAACGGTGTGTTCCTCAAATTTCTTTCTGCTGGTAGAGCAGAAGACTGATCTTGATTGCTGCAGTCGGTGTGCTTCTGGAATTAAAAAAAGGGGCAGGGGACAAAATCTCTCTGCAGCAGAAACCTCAAAAACGTACAGGTTCTAGGGCTTGCTCGTTGTCAGACTGTAGGGGTTGTTGCGAGTTTTAAAGTGTATGTTTAAATGGAAAGGCTGTAAGATGAGCTTAAAATGTATGTGTAGGGCGCAAATTGAAACCTGTGGGGTAGAGCTGCGCAGCGAGTTCAGATAGCGGCACTGCGTGACTTGACTGCAGAAGCGGTTAAAATATAACTGTCTACATTATCTTCCACATGAGGAGAAAGCCCTGGAAATTTATTAGCTGAGCTGCTTCACCAAATAGTTGGAATACTTCAACCTGCCACACATGCTCACGGTCAGGGCTCACTCTCTGATAGAGGAATGCAACTGCTTTTCAAGATCTCTTGAGACTTCGGTTGTAAAAACAGACCGTGGTGCCAGGAGGCTTTACAGAGCTTGTAAACGAAAGCTCTGGAAATGGTAGTCTAAATTATTTTCTGCTTAAAAAAAGTAAAAGACTTTGAAAAATTCGCAAGCGGTGAGGGAAAATGGATTGCAAGCGTGAAGTTTCTGCTTGCTGACTTGAGGTGCCGCAGAGGAACAGGGAAGGACTGGTCTTTCGGCTTAGCTCTTCAACCTGTTTGAGTTTTACGTTGGGCAGAGGTGTACTTTTATGGCCTCCTGGAATTAAATACTGCAAGGGAGGGCCGCGGAAGGGCAGCGTAGGGAAATTTGGAAAACTGGCTTGTGTTGCTCTTCGAAGACTGCAAGTTGCTGTGGTGATTGGATTTTCACAAGTGCAGTACTTGGTATCACCGGGATCCTTTTGGCAGCGCTGCGCCCAGAAGCACTGGGGAGCATTGATCCCAGGGGTTGAGCGCCTGTGCTTCAGGAGGAACTTCTCTAAACCCCTGTGGAGTGCTGCTCATGCTAAATTTGTGATGCGTTTTGTGTCCTCTGCATCTGAGTACACGAGTGTGTCCTCTGCAAGTGTGTCCTCTGCATCTGAGTACACGAGTGTGTCCTCTGCATCTGAGTACACGCGTGTTTACACAAACCTGCTGTGATTTTTTTTTTTTTTTTAACATAAAAACAATGATACTGACTGTGGTTCTAGATGTAGATTTACTTAGTAGCTGGAGCAGACCAAGGTGCTGCCGCTTGGGTAGAGCGGAGGGTGAGCACTCTTGGGCTGTTTCAGTGCAAACTCCGGCAGCTTATCTTAAACTCTCCTGGTAAGTGACGGAAATGAATAATCGGATGTGGAACACGTGCTTTCTCATTCCTCTCTGCCAGCGAGTCTGGGTGAAAGAGAGACGCTAACATTTTCGGCTGCTACGCCTGTTGAAAAAATGAATGACTGTCTAAACTCCAAGGCAGTAAAACTTAAAATCTTACCTCAGCTCCAGAAGGGACTGTTTTTAGAGAACCTGTAGTAAAATACAGTCTTTATGGCTGCTCCCGTCGCTTTTCCTTCTCAGGGCCAAGACCTCTTGTTCTTGAGACAAATGTGAAGGTTCCCACTATTGCTTCTTGGCTCCTCGTAGGCTTTGGCGGCACCTACAGAATCTATAGGTGCTCTGTGGGGACCGAAGTGGTACCAGCGGGTGTTAACAATAGTGGGGTGTAAATTAGCAGTTGAGCTGCTGCTTCAGGAGGGGTTGAGCGGTCTCCGCAGCAGTTCTGGTATAGGCGTGGGAGGACGGGAGCTGCTATGGCTGGCCCAAGGGAAGGCAGCTCTGTCTCTGAAATGGAGTCCAGTGCCAAAAAGAAACCCCAGATACACAAAGACAACTGTTCTGTTGTTGTTCTGTTCTGGATACATTTCTTCACTATGGTTTTCTTCTTGTAATACAGATGGAAGAGTTTGATGCTTTTCCTTGCCGTTGCCGTAGTCTGTGTGGAAGGATGGGGCAGTAGGGCACCGGGGATGATACCCGCGGCGCATGGCTGCAGAAAAGTCGCATGCTCGTGCCGCAGCAGGGAGAGTTCCTTTCTGTCTCGGGGATTTGCTTGGCCCGTCGCCTTCCAGCAGAAAGGATTACTGGGCTGCCTCGTGGATTAAGTGTCTGCTTTGATTCGGACTGAGCAGCACTGCTAAAAACGGAGAAAAATACTTCCTTCCAAATCTGCAAACTTGTCTCTGTACAAACACTAGCTTCCAGGAAAGGCCTTTGTTCTCTATTCGACCTTCACAAACTCTTCCTCCCAGAGCAGATTTGATTGTCTTCCTTTGAAGCTTGATTATGTATTGCAGAGAGCTGATCACCCTCTAGTTTATGTTTTAAAACAAAACAAAAAAAAACCTGACACACCACTCCTATCGATAGGTGGTTGCTGTGCTGTTTGCGCCGTGAGTCGGAGATTGCTGCATGACTTTCTTGTTTCTTCCAAATCTTCTGTTCCAGAAGAGCTTAAAGCAACGCCTGGGTAAGAGTAACATTCAGGCACGATTAGGCCGGCCAGCGGGCGCCCTCGCTCGCGGAGCCATGGGAGGAAGAGGACTGTCGATGGGACAGCGAGGCTTGCCGCGAGGAGCCATGCGTGGTGGCCGGGGAGCGAGAGCTCTGCTGAGAGGAGGAGTCCCACTCCGAGGTCAGTACCGCGGCTGAACCGAAGTGGGTTGTGTCGGTAACGCGGTCTTTTTTTTTTTGACAGCGGGGGACTCCCCGATTGCATTGCTCGGTCTGAAAGCTCATTTCTGATTTGAATCCGCTTTGTGTGCCACAGGTCAGAGCCTGCTTCGTGGAGGACGAGGAATATCCCCCAGGATGGGCCTGAGAAGAGGTGGCATTAGGGGTCGCGGTGGCCCTGGAAGAGGTGGTCTGGGCAGAGGTGCCATGGGCCGCGGGGGACTCGGTGGCAGAGGTTAGTGTGCGTGGTGTGACACGTTGCTGCTGAATAAATAAAAATAAGCTTTAATTCTTCTTTTTCCTCTGCAAGGCTAGCATGTGTGAGTACATGCGGCCCCAAAACCCCTCTGTTCTTAAATCCTAGCGCTTCATTAAGCCTCTTGTTCCCAAAATACTTAGCCTCACCGAGATCCCCAACACCGTCAGTGTAGCGAGAGGGGTTCTAGGGACTTTGGGCGGAGTTGCCCGCTCCTGGTGGGCGACACGTGGGATAGCAGCTGAGGCAGCGTGTTGAGGAAGCTCCAACCGAGGGTTGGAGGCGATGAGCTCCAGAAAGTCCTGCTGACCCCCCACCGGCTCTGTCAAACCCACCCCGGTGCCGCGGTTGGTCCCCGCAGAGGCACCGGTGGGGTTGCGGTGGCATGTGTAACCCTTGCCTTGTCTCCCCGGCAGGTCGTGGCATGGCGGGCCGGGGACGAGGGGGCTTCGGAGGTCGCGGCAGAGGCCGAGGAAGAGGAAGAGGATCGCCGCGTCCCGCCTTGACCAAGGAGCAACTGGACAACCAGTTAGACGCTTACATGTCTAAAACGAAAGGACACCTGGATGCCGAGCTGGATGCGTACATGGCTCAGACAGACCCGGAAACGAACGACTGAAGGTCCGGTTTGAGAGACTGTCGGTGACATTTAGTGTGTGATGTCTGTGTCCATAAGCTAAAAAAAAAAAAAAAAAAAACCCCAACAGAAACCCTGATTGGCGCTGGAAGGACCCACAGGAATAGGGGGTGGCTCTGTCCCACCAAGAGATCGGACTGTAGCGTTCCTTTACCGGTTTGATACTAGCTGTTCTACAAAACCCTTTATTTTTTCTTTTTTTGGTTGTTTTTTCTATCTTTTGATTGTTTTTTTTTCTTTCCCCTGAGTACTCCAAACACTGCTCTGACATACCCACAGTTCATCGGCGGTGCCGGTGAGCGGCAGCACGGCGCAATCCGCTCCTCGCTGTTGGGTTCGCTTGGCTTTTTGTGCCTCGAAATTGAATTTTTTGGGGATCAGCGCTGTCCCCCGAGTGTCACCCATGGGCTGATGGCGTTAAAAACCACCTCCCAGCAGAGCCAAGGTTTAGGTCTTTAAATCTCCTTGGTTTACCCCAAAACTTTTTGGATTTTTTTCTCTTTTGTTGGTAGCCAGTGTTGTGTTGATTCCCAGGTTGAAAACTTTCCTGGGTCAGTTCATTTTTGAGATAAAATGTCAGAATTTGGGGTGTTGAGTGGGTGACACCGGTGGGGTTTTTTCTTTCGCATCTTGCCAGAAAGCGAGGGGATTATTTACAGGACTGGGAAGCGGCAAAGTGACATTTCAGTGTGGTGGAATCCTCTTGGGGGGGCCAAAATTCAGCTCCGGTGTAGCCAAAAGTGCGTTGGGACCACCGCTGTCCCCCACCCCCCCGCCCCGCACCCCATTTTTGGGCAGGGTCCCATGTGTTGTGTGTGTGTATCCCCCTTTTTTTCCCACCCCATTTGAAGCTCAGCCGTTCTGTGACCTCTTCCAGTTTCAGTGGAATCTCCTCTTTCTGGTTTGTTGTAACAAAGGAGAAATAATTATCAAAGCGATGTGGGCTCCGGGTGGTGTTTTTTTGGGGGGGAGAGAGGGGTGAAAGGCGCGGGGATCCCGGTAGCCGCCCGCCCTCCTTCGTGGAAGCGCGGCCGCTATTGGATGGCGGAGCGGCGGCAGGTTGTTACGGCGCT